TCACCTTGCTTTAGAATCTTATGTTCTAATGTGTTTTAATGTTACCTTTGCCTTGCTATAGGTCCAGTCTCTTACCGAATGAGTGCAAGGCATTGACATGCTGTGATATAGAAATGTCCCAATGCATTCTGGATCTACCCTGTGGCCTTTGTTCAGGTGTTCATATCTGATAAGAATGATCTAATTATATAACTATCTAACTATTTAATTTCAGGGGGAAGCCAACACGCTGCCAGCTAAATGAACACAATACCCATTTACAGAATGCAAGTCCAGCCCAAGTCATTTTGTTTTTGGCAATTATCTATACCTCTGCCTACAGCAAATAACAGGGGGACCCATATTCCTTATCTAAATAAAATGCAAACCCCCTTCAGTAATAGAAAGCACACTCATGAAAAAAACAACAAACCCTTCAATTAGAGACAAGCCCACCCTTCAATATTGTATGTGATCAATACTAAAGAGATTAGAGATATTATTAGTAAACAATTTCACTCAGAAATACAGCATGCCTTGAAAACCTCATAGAGCAGAATAAAGTGAGTTATAAGTATGAAAAGTGAGTAATAAGTATGGAAGGTAATTTCAACCTCTGGATGGACTATGAGCATTAATTTTAAATCTGGACCTATAGTATTATCACTCCAATTAGCAAGGTCATGTTCCATCAAGCTTTACCTCTAAAAAAAAAAAAAAAAAAAAAAAAAAAAAAAAAGCTATTCAAACTCTTACAGAAGCAGAATTTGCACACACAACAGAAGACCAAAGCTCCAGACCTAAAATCTAACATAATGAATACATTCAAAGGTGGAGAACACCTTTAATTCTAAATATTTAATTAATTCTGCTCAGTGGGATAAGTATCTAGGTATATATATATATATATATATATATATATATATATATATATATATATATATATATGTGTGTCTTAATCCAAACATTAGGATCTCACTATATCATTGTAAATCCTATAGGTCTCTAATTGAAGGGTGTGCTTGCCTACTGTTTGAAATTTCAGGAATGGATTCTTTGTTGCTTATATCTCTTCATAGACTGGTAATGAAGAATCTGCAGCTAATCTGAGACCACAAAGAAGGTTGTGACCCTCTGAGATTGGCTCTGCTCTGATAGGCTACAGCTAAGTGAGGAAGCACTGCCAGAGCTGAGCCAGCGATGTCTGAACTGATTGATCTCTGCCCTCTATCAGCACTAAAGCAATGTGTTTTGCTATCATTATGTGTGAATAAGCATCAACATATTATCACTGCGAGCTGGAATTTTTTTGTTACAATGTTAGATTATACAAGTCTGTGAAAAGGCAAAGAATACTGGCACATTTAAATAATATTGCGTACAACTATTGTTATCTATGACATATAGTTATCTACAGTATATAGATTACAAAATATTTGAATTTAAATTAATTAAACTGTTTATGTTTTTTTATAGAGATGAATAAAGGTCTCTGCTTTTGCAGTCCATTAGAAATTGAGTAGGAAGGCTGACACCACGAGCTTAGGAATTTGGAGCGGTGTTGTCATGTAAGAAGAAGGTAGGAGCTATTTCCGGCACATCACCAGTTATTGTCCAGTGCTTGCAGTGTGTTTAAAAGGTTAAAACATGGGGAAAAAATAGATAAGTACTCCAGAGTATTCCCGTTTTAATTCAATGGGTTTTTTTGTTAACATTAAAATCACAGAGGCTTTAGAAGTGTGGAAATACAGAAAAAAAATAAAAAATCATACTCACTTAGATGGCTGCAGTACCGATCCCAGCTGCAGCTGTCCGACTGCTGGCTCTACCCTGAGAACTGAGCGATCAAACCCCGCTGATCGCTCAGTTCTCCACTCTGCTCTGAGCAGAGAGCAGTGACTGTCAATCTCCATCTCTCTGCTCTGCCCCTTGAGCACCCACTGGAGCGCTGGGCTGTGAAGGGGGCGGGAGGGGCTTGCTCAGGCTCCCAGCGGCATGTTGAGAGGTTGCACCAGCTACTGCTCTAGGCTGTAAAGTCGGGATTTTTCCTGAGCCTGGACTGGCTTAGTGACGTAAGCCAAAAGTGGGCTTTAGCTTGCTGTTGGCTGAAATCGGGTCACAGGAGTGTAGTAAGTATAGAAAAAGCCAATACAATGGCTACATTTACAGCCTGCTCCAAGCCCATACTGGAAGGAACTATGTGAAGATGGCTTAAGCAGATTTTTAAAAACAGAGTAAGAACTATACTCTGTGCCATGAGACAACAATCCACAACACTGAAAAAAGACATTTATTGGAGAGTCACTTATCATTTTGCCATATACTGTATATCTGCATAGAAAAAGTGCAGTGCTACCTACATTTTAGCACACTGAGTGGGCAGCAGGGAGGAGGGTGTCTTTACAATTCTGCTGTGATCATTATTGGAACAGTTATGATTTCCTGGAGCTTGACTTAATATCTAAAATTCAGATGCAGCCCACATAAGAAATTACATTTGTCAACAAAAAGAATTCATGAAGAAATCTGTTGCAGAGGGTGGAGGTGAGCTTCAGGGTCCCATGATGGGGTGGCTGCAGGCTCCCAGCACAGCCAGTTGAGGTAAGGACCAGTGAAAGGAGGCAACAAGTATATGTTGGTAATATTGAAGGTACAGTGCCCTTTTAAAGCATCAGTTTAATTTTTTGATTGATGGTTTTGCTGTGAAACCACAACAGTACGACCTAACTGGAAAAAGGTTGCAGATCGGGATAGAATTTACAGAAAAAGCAATAGTAACAAGAACATTTTCACTGGACAGCTCTCTGCAACATTTAATACAAGTTGCTGACCTTAAAATCGTTAGGCTCTTGTCAAACTCTTTAGAGGATATTTATTTTAACTGCTGTTAAGCTGACTTATGCAGCTGGAAGAGACACCAGTGCAATGTATAGGGAATATAAATCAATAATTATATCAGTGAAACAAGGTGCTATGGATTAGACAGGGAATAGATACTAACTGTGCTACAGATGGATCTGTAGCAGATATTTAATCGTTCGCCCTGTACAGCAAGCTCCTGAAATAGTAACTTCCTGGGCAGCAGGTTAATATACAAACAGGACCAATATTTTGAGACACCAAAAAGGTGCCATTTAAGTAGACACAGGGGAGATAGATGTGAGCAACACAGTGGTTTAGTGGTTGCAAACTCCATGCAAGTAGTGTGGTTGGGATTGGAATCCATGACCCTAATGCTGAAGGCATTAGGGTCATGGATTCCAATCCCAACCACACTACTTGCATGGAGTTTGCATGCTTCCTCCTGGTACTCTGATTTCCTTCCAAACTCCAAAAGACATTCTGGCTCCTGTCTAAATTAGTGTTAGTATGTCTTTGTATGCATGTGAGGTAGGGACCGTAGATTGCGGGTTCCTTTTGGTGACCCAAGGGGCAGGGGATGATGTGATTGTACACTATTTGTAAAGTGCTGCATAAATTGTTGGCCCTGTAATAAACAGATAAATATAATAGCCAATCTGCATAGTGTCTACAATTATGCAGGCCTGAAAGATTTGTGACTGCAAAATACAATCATGAATGGCCCTAATCACTGAAACAAATAGTTTAAAACCCCTTTTGCCACCAGCTACTGTCTATAGGAAACATTGCATTGGAACAAAATTGTTCTGCAAGGAGCTGCAAGCCAACCCACAAGTACTCTTTAAACCCTGCTTAAAATAATCTCACAGCATATATAGTAATATACAAAGCCAAAGGGAGAACTCTAGATTCTACCAAAAGTGCATTATATATGCTCGCCCATGCTGTAAATATTGCATATCTGCGAATGTCTGACCAGGTTCTGAATAAATGAACCTTGCCTATAAAATTACTAGCTTTAGCTAGGAAGCTATTTGTGCAAATTATGGCATCCCCAGCATCTGTGTTACAAGATCTCATTTACATGTACTGCAGGGTGTGTATTTTTTGCATTCACAGTACCATCTATTGGCTGAAGGAGACAAGCACAGCTCATTCACATAGGTAGGGAGGTAGGAGCAGGCAGGTTTTAGGTCTCATGTATACAAACTCCCCTAGATGTTTAGCTATCCTGGCAGCAGAAAAACGTTAGGCGTGGCAAAAACGTGTGTAAGCACGGCACTGCATTTGGTGCTTGGATGTTTATTCATTTGATTGGCCAGAGTATTTTTCATTGATATGAATAAACGGCCAAACGCAGCTAACGTTTAGATGTAATTACACATGTTTTTAGCAATTTTTGGCCAAACTGGTCCTCTCCTGAACGCGATTCTTCAACATTCAGGAGAGGAACATTTAACTGCCCCCTAAATTCTGCTGCTCCTAAACTCGGGTAAAAGCCTACGTGTACATGGACACATAGGCTTTTACTGAGTTTAGTTTAGGGGCTTTGGCAAAAAATTGCAAACGTTTAGGAGCAGCAGTACACATGAGGCCTTAGCCTGTTTATATATGACTCAGACTTGCCTGTCAGCAATGCTGTGGAAAAGCCTTTCTCAACCAGGGTGACAGACCCCCTGGGGTGCCTTGAGGTTTCTTCAGGAGTGCCTTATCAAAATGTCTACAAATTGCCCAAAACTTATATACAGGCCAGCAGGTGGAACAATCCTGCCTTTTAGTTACACAAAGCCACATGTTTTCATTGTGTACTATTAGGACCTTCTAGCCGCCCACGTCCTGCAACCATTGACCTGCACGGCATCCTATTTTGACCCTTCCCTGCCCCTCTCCATCAGTGCTGGGGTCACATTAGCTCAGTGAAGGTGAAATACTGAGGGAGAAGAGAAACAGTGAAATATTGCTCAGGACCAGTGTGCAAAAGTGTATTTGCTTTGGAAGAATAAATCACCTCTAATGTTGGATGTCCTACATGTATGGATGTTGCTGCGTTATAAAAAACTATTAGAATAGTTTTTCACATTTTAGAATGGGGTGCCCTTTTAAAATTATGGACAGTCTTGAGACACCCCATTTTAGAATGGGGTGCCACAAGACTCCATAATTTTAAAGGGTGCCTCGGGACTGTCCATAATTTTAATTGGTGCCTCAAGACTGTCCATAATTGTAAAGGGTGCCTCAAGACTGTCCATAATTTTAATTGGTGCCTCAAGACTGTCCATAATTGTAAAGGGTGCCTCAAGACTGTCCATAATTTTAATTGGTGCCTCAAGACTGTCCATAATTGTAAAGGGTGCCTCAAGACTGTTCATAATTTTAATTGGTGCCTCAAGACTGTCCATAATTGTAAAGGGTGCCTCAAGACTGTCCATAATTGTAAAGGGTGCCTCAAGACTGTCCATAATTGTAAAGGGTGCCTCAAGACTGTCCATAATTTTAATTGGTGCCTCAAGACTGTCCATAATTGTAAAGGGTGCCTCAAGACTGTCCATAATTTTAAAGGGTAACTTGACTGAAAAAAAGTTGAGAAACACTGCTGTGGAGGATGACAGCCAGCCACACTGTAATGCTGAATTTGTAACTATTCTGTACCCCAATGACTGTAAGAGTAATGTGTATTTTTACACGGAAAAGACTGCTATTCCTTTGAAACTGCAGATAGACTGTGATATTGGGGCAGTTTAGCCTTACAAGTGAAGCCATTGCAGCTGCAGAAGGGGGTGGAAAGTAAGGCCATCAGAGACTGCCTTCTGTACAGTGTGGGTTTTGGCAGATATCCTTTTAATACAGGTATGGTTTATGGTATCCAAAGATATCAGCTATCCATCTAACAGCAGCGGACACCCATTGTCATCTGAAGACTACATTTTTCTTAGCCAACTGCTATCATTTCCTAAGGAATGAGCCCACTCTCCCTAAATCAAAGCATAAATATGCATATTCAGGTGACATGTACAGAACAATCTTTAACTGGACAGATGGTGCCCCGCATTTCCGCCATCCTGTCTTAGCCTTTGTATAGTCGCTGACTAAGCATTTAATTTAATTGGACTAGTCTGAGCCTCAATAAGCAGCATATCTCAGAGAGATCTGTCAGCCTGTTACCTATAGAAACAATATTGTTTCTTTTACCTATCTGAGTAGAGTAGAGTAGATTGGCTGATCAATACAGCCTGACAAGTCACTACCCCTGAACATTTTGAAAATGAAGCCCACAGTTCAAATGCACTGGCATTTTGTCATTTAAATAAAAATCCATGTCTACTTTTTTGGGTTAAAGCAGCTAGCAAAGCTGCACAGCTATGGCACAAAAGAGGAATAGCTTAATCTCTGATATATAGCTGCAGCATTTTTTTCTTTTATTTTGCTGTGATCTAGAAAACAAGTTTCTCCAAGTAGCAATTAAGGAGGGGTGTGAGCTCTCTCTTTCAGTAAGCATCATCTGGGTGCTGTATGAACGGCTTAGACACAGACTTTTGTGCAGAGCCCTTAGTGAAGGACTGTTTACCAACAGGATAAAGGCAGGCAGTCAAGGCTTATTTCAGCTTACAGTCATGTTTTCTATTAAAGGTTTGTAGTATCCTGAGGTCTTCCGTTTTATTAGTCTTATCTTCATGGTGCATTCCTCATGAAATCAGGTCTTAGCAATGCACAGTCAGTACGTTATTTCCCCATTTAAGTATGGCATATACAGCATGAAAAGGGCAAAAGACCAGAATGTAGGGGAGAGATTTCAGTCAAATAGGAATAGGCAATACATAGGACATACACAAATATGGGTTAAATTAAAGCTAAACTCAGTGCTGATATAAAATTATTTAATGTAGTTATGCATTCATTAAAATCATGAAATGGGCTGTTACATGGAAGTACCCTGTCCTGCTATCATTCTCCTGTAATTCTCTGAGCACGCTCAGTAGAACATAAGAACATGCTTAAAGTGGTTGTAAACCTCAGACATGAAATATGAATAAAGCACATCCCTGTATAGTGTGTACTTGTCTCAATTAGCACTAAGTGTCATTTCTGTCCGCTGCCTCGTTTCTCTGCTATCAGTATGAATCACTTCTAACAAGTTTTCCTGACACCAAGAGAAAAATGTTGACAAAGGAAGGACCTCCACCTGGCCAACAGCCTCAGCTCTGTTCCTTTTGTGCTGTGTGAAGGGGATTGTGTCCCTTCCCTCCAATCAGCTGTCACAGCTCTCCTCACTGAGCTCTGCAGCACGTAACATCAGCTCTCCACCCCCTTTTTTTGACAGCTCAGACAAGCTTTTTAGATTATGTACTTTGAAAGGATGTACAGAAGAAAAGGCTGCAGACAGACAGGTACAACTTATGTAGGAGGAATTGTTAAATCTCAGTATCACCTGATGCCAGTCACTTCACTGAGTATATATAGGGGTTTACAACTACTTTAAAGGAGGGGAGAGTAGAAGGATAGCCTTTTCACTATGTTTCGGTTCCTTTTGTCCATTTACAGGCTGTGGGTCCTGAACGTGTATTGTTTTACTCCTGTAAACTCTTCACATTTTTCCTGGCTCTAAGTGAGCAGTCTGGAAAGAGTGCCTGGATCTCAAGACAGTGGAACAGAATAATGCCTTATGTGTGTGGGCATCATTTTTTTCCTTCCCCATACAAGACAATTCAAATAACCAGAAGGGACTAAATGTCTCAAAATTAACCCAATTACAAGCTGCACCAATGTGCACTGGTTCTAACAGTGATCCAGCGGCTAATCAGCCACTCGGATCACTTTAATCAGAAAGAGCAGTACCAGCAGAGAATTTTAATACTGGGGTTATGGCATCTAGCTGCAGCCATAACCCCGGTATACCACTATAAAAACATTTATTTATTACAGGTACTATATAGCGCCGTCAATTTACGCAGTGCTTTACATATATTGTACATTCACATCAGTCCATAACCCTCACATTCATACATACACTAGGGCCATTTTAGACAGGAGCCAGTTAACTTACCAGCCTGTCTTTGGAGTGTGGGAGGAAACCGGAGTACCCGGAGGAACCCCATGTAGGCACAGGGAGAACATGCAAACTCCAGGCAGGCAGTGCCATGGTTGGGATTTGAACCAACGACCCTAGTACTGCCAGGCGGAAGTGCTAACCATTTAGCCACTGTGCTGCCCCGTTAGGCCATCGGCAAGTGGTTTTAAAGCCTGAGACAACACACATGGTGAATTCTTAGCTTAGAGTAAGACCAGGTTTGGGTGAGGGTACATTTTTGCTCCTCCTGGGTAGAAGTGAAGATGCAGTGGTGGAGGGTAGGATACGACCTTACTACTCTTAGGATAAAACAGCCAATATTTGCTGGAGCTGCTTTTGATGTCAGCTTTTGTTACAACGACATAACAGGTGCTGATTAGTTATTTTTGATCTTGTCTGTGGCTAAGTTCTAGGAATGAGAATGGCAGCTCTGTGACTTGGCATAATAGTAAATCAATAACTTTTAGCTTAACAGGGAAATTTTTAGACACAAGGATCGATGATGACTGGCTATAACTCTACTAAATGACACAGCCCAACTCACTGCATATACACGCTCACTGTGCACATCATCAAGACTTTTCAAGTGTTAAAATATTTAAATTTGCCTAATGCAAGCACTCTCCATCCCCTGATTGGATGCCCCTCTTTGTAAGATGTCAATTATTTACCACACGGTTTCACATCATGCGCCTGAACTGTAACACCATTTCTTTAAAATGTGAAATATTTAATTTTGACCAGAATGACAACATTTCTCAATCTTTCTCAAAGCGTGTCCAAAAAAACATTTGCTAACCTTCCCTCTTTCCTGTAATGTTATTATTCACTGCATTCATTATTAATGCCAGCTGGCAGTAAAAAAATGAGCTCTGGTTCCTGTAAAATTAATTCAATGATTAAAATTTAAGCCCCTCTGAGACAGAGGGAGCTCCAACAATCTGTGGATGTCCTTATGGTTTGGGGGACGTTGGCGTGCTGTCAGTTTCCTCTATGCTTTGTAAGGTAGCTCCTGTTTGAGGTCGGTTTGAAGTTGCTTGTGAAGTCAAATGACAGTGTGAAAGTTCACTGACTCTGCCAGAAGACAGTGGAAGAAGATATGGCCTAATGCTTCATTATGTTAAATGCTGTACAATGGGCAAATGCTACGATTAAAAAAAAGAGCACTGGCATATAACATTCACACCAAGGCATTGTAGTTTCAGGGGCATTGCTGACCACTTACACTTTCTCCGCATGGCACGGAAAATATAGTTATAGTGTGTCTTTTGGCTTGTATGCGCCCCGTTGTTCCAAAAGCACATTTGTGCTCAATCACACAACTGTGGGTTGTCCATATTGCCTTACCATAAATAATCCTTAGGGTACTTTGACATCACTGGGTTGCAGAATAGTTTACATACCATATCACCATCCTGCAGAACAGCAGCCTACACAGAAATGTGCTGACAAATACCTACTACAACTTAGCTTTGCCATGAATAACACTGTGCTGATGAACTCCTCCTTTAAGCCATCTATAAACCTGCTGTCAAATTGATATGCTGATATGTTAATGAGCTTTAAAGTATATTTCCACTGTTGCAGTCAAATTAAAAGAAAAAAAAAGGTCATATGCTTGTTATGTGTTTCCATTTACACAGCAAGCCTTAAAAAATTAATTAAAAATTCTTACCTTTTAGATGTTTCCAAGAGGGGGTGTCATGGCTGACATACAATGCAAGAAGCCCAGACTCTACATCCTTAACCAGTGTTCATATCTAGCTGAGATGAATAATGAATATCTGCCTACACAGTACAAACAGAGTTAATTATGGCAAACACAGCTGCCCAGCCTCCTCATAAACACAGATAACTACCTAGGATTTTTGCTTGCTGGAGGGTCCAGAATTGAGCATCTTTTAAGATGCTTAATTTTAACTTTGAAGAAGGTATGCCATGTGAATGGAGATATATAACAAATATAAAGTAGGTGTCATCCCAATTTAGCTGCAAAAGTGGAAACACACTTCTCCTCATTGAAATCTGTAGCTGCAGGAGGCACTGTGGAACAATTATTCTTCAGAGTACATATCAGAAGCATGGGAGTTATCCAAGTCATCCTCTCAGCAGCTCAGCTCTCCTTGCATCCCCATCCCAGCAGAGACTCAGTAGTCTTCTAATCTCTAATATAACTGCAAAGATGAATCTTGGCTCTGGTTGTTATAATGTTACACACAGTAAGCAGCAGGCAGGAAAATGCTGAGACAGACTATTTACGGCTATTTAAGAAAGCCTAAAGTGAGAGAAATAGAGGAGTTGCCATTACTGGCCACCTCCAAGAAATGCGTATTGTCTGGCTGTCATACTGTTCCAATGACTTAAGAACTTTCAACACAACAAGCATAGAACAAGTAAGCCAAAACTCCAAATCAGTATGCTTGT